CGCCCACGGAGCCGGATCGTTGCAACTGACAAGGGGCCAGCCCACTGGCCTGTGCACCCCGGATAGATGGGTTGTCAGTGAATGGTGTGAGTGGAGACGCCAACTCTGCCACGGCCCTTCAGGAACCTTTTCTTGACTTGGAGAACACGAAGCGCATCATAGTGACCTGGATGTGTCCTTTAGTGTGTTGCCAACCTCCTTAGTACTAGTCATGGAAGCCTGTCTTGTCGGTGTTGCTTTTGAGACCAGGACGCCGTGAGAGCTTCATTGGACACATAGATGGGATCTCGACTTTGAACAGAACATCATATGAGACATCATCCACCCAGGTTTGCAAAGAGACCCTGTGCGTTGTTCTTCAGTACGCCTGTGGCGGTGTAGAGGTCCAAAGCAAACTTGAGGTGGAGCAAGGGATGGACTAGTTCCCATCCAGGCTCAATCATGATGATCCAAGGCTGCCGTGTCATAGAAGCAGGGTCTGCGAACGCATACGAATGCCTTGGTTTGCAGATCTCGGACTTGAGCATCACCGCAATCCTTCACTGGCAGGTCAGGCCACCAAGCCAAGACCCTTGTTCTATGCTCTCAAACACCTATAGCCTAAGACTCGTGTGGCCATCTTCGATCACATGGCCCGGCCTACGACAAGTTCCCTGACCTCTACATTGGTTTTGAGTTGAAGACTTTGATCAGGTCTGGCCGCTGCTCTTTTTCACCAAGGAGCTGGCCACCAATGAACTCCGCATGATTTTGCAAAAAGACACCCAAGCAAAAGCCAATCAGGCCGCCTTGGCAGCCCAGCCCTCCGAGATCCTGGACCTGCAGGCGATGGTGCTCAGCAGATCTTGCTTCTTGCGGCGGGGCGCGTGAGGATTTTGCTCACTGACAAGACTGACTTCATCCACAAGACAGGTGGCTGTGCACCTGGCAAGTTCCCGCTCATTCAGCAGAAGAAGGAGCTGCTGCCTCAGCTGTTAGCTCAGCCAGACCGTCATGGATATTCATGGCAGGCCTTCAGACGTGGAGTCCAGTGTGGTTTCCGCTACCATTCCAAGAGCATGGTGGCTGAACTTGGACAGAGCATACCTTCGCTGCACAGTTTGCAAGAGCTATATTCTTGTTCGAACCAACGAAGAGTCCTTCTCAAGATTCGTCGGTGAACCTTGTCATTGTGGGTTGCTGGAACCAAGCCTGTGGCAGGGCCATGTCACGCACACTATGGTGACAAAGTGCAAGAGCCGAGCAAAGCAAAGATCTTGGGCCAGAGTGCAGCTCACACCATGGCTTCGAGGTCGATGTGGCGCCACCAAGTTATCTATCTATCTATCTATGTATATATTATCTATCTATCTATCTATCTATCTATCTCTATCTTGTTAAGTTGCTTGGGGACCGTCGTTCGTTGTTTCGGGGGAATTAGCGCAGAAGAAGTGTTTTTGACCCTTGCGGACCTCTGAAGAATTGGTTGTTCAGAACTAACAAAGGGTATAAAACACGTCTTGTTTTTTTTGCGTTGTTAGTGGCAACATACGAGACCCAAAGGACTATTTCATAGGTTTGTTTGTCTCGTGAGTGGTGAGTGAACGGCCATGGTAAAAGCTTTGTAGACGTTGTAAACCTTTGTAAGTTTGTTTGTAATTCAACAACTCTGTCAACTCTTTGCAAAAGTTGCAAACTTTGTACAAATTCTTAAGACTTTGTGAAAGTTTTGTAAACTTTGTATAACTTTGTAAAAATACAAAACTTTGTAAACGTTCTAAAAACTGTGTAAAACGTTGCTCTAACTTTGAAGAATAATTTGAAGAACTCCAAAACTTCGTAAAAGGTTTGTAAACCTTTTTACAAAGTTTGCGAATTTTACAACATCTTAATAAAGTTTTACCAAGTTCTTACACAGTTTTACAAGTTTAAAGGTTGACAAAGCTTACAAAGTTTGACAAAGTTTAAAAATGTTTTACAAAGTCTACAAAGTGTTGACAAAGTTTACCAAGTTTATACCAAGTTCACTACGTTCTTACAAAGCTTTCAAAGTTGGTACAAAGTTTACAAAGTTTTACACAGATTTTATGAAGTTTGCAAAGTTTTGAAAGTTTTACAACCGTTTACCAAGTTTACAAAGTTTTACAAAGTTTACAATATTTTAACACAGTTTACAAAGTTTTGAACAATTTCCAAAGTTTACCCAGTTTACAAAGGTTTTACCATTAAAAAATCAATTAAAGACGTATTGAAAGTTTTACAATGTTGCTGCAATGTTGACAAAGTTTTTACAAAGTTTACACAGTTTTGCAAAGTTTTGATAGTTTACAAAGCTTGTACAAAGTTTATAAAATCTTTACAAAGATTGCAATTTTTACAAATTCACATGGAGTTTTTTCAAAGTGTACAAACATTTGCAAACTTTACATAGTTTACAAAGCTTTCACAAAAGTTGCAAAGTTTATACAGTTTACAGAGTTTTTGCACAGCATTGAAAGTTTACAACGATTTTAGAAAGCTTTGGAATTTGACAAAGTTCTTGCAAAGTTCGGAATTTTCACAGTTTTTCAATTTTTACAGAGTCTACAAAGTCTCACAAAGTGTTTACAAAGTTTTCAAAGTTTTTACAAAGTTTACAAAGTTGTACAACGTTTTTACAAAGTTTACAAAGTTTTTACAAAGCTTACAAAGTTTTTACAAAGTTTACAAAGTTTTTACACAGTTTACAAGGTTTTTACAAAGTTTACAAAGTTTTTACACAGTTTACAAGGTTTTTACAAAGTTTTTACAAAGTTTACAAAGTTCTTACAAAGTTTACAAAGTTTTTACAAAGTTTTTACAAAGTTTGCAAGGTTTTTACAAAGTTTTTACAAAGTTTACAAAGTTTTTACAAAGTTTACAAAGTTTTTACAAAGTTTACAAAGTTTTTGCAAAGTTTGCAAATGGCTGGTGAAAAACACTTATGTTTACAACAAATGACATGAAAAACACTTCTTTTCAATTAAAAAATCGTGCAAAAACACTTCTTTCACAGAACTTTACAAAGTTTTACAAAGTTTTTACAAAGTTTACATAGTTTACACAGTTTTTACAAAGTTTACAAAGTTTTTACAAAGTTTACAACGTTCTGACAAAGTTTGCGACATTTGCCTTTTGTTACACAAATTTACAAAGTTTTTACAAAGTTTACAAAGTTTTGAAGATATTGGAAAGTTCACAAAGATTTTGCCAAGTTTACGAAGTTTTGCAAAGTTTACAGAGTTTCGACAAAGTTTACAAAGTTTTGACAACAATTACAAAGTTTTGATAGTTTATTTATTTGCAAAGTTTACAAAGTTTCTTTCTACATTTTACAAAGTTTTTACAAAGTTTGTACAGTTTCACAATTTGTACAAAGTTTTGAGGAAATTTACAAAGTGTTCAAAGTTTACAAAGTTTTCACAACGTTCACAAGGTCTTCATGTTTACAATGCTTTGACAAAGTTTACGAAGTTTAAAAACGTTTTACAAAGTTTGCAAAGTGCTACGAAGTTTATAACGGTCTTTTTTTAAATAGAGTTTACGAAGGCCTACAACATCTAAAAAAATTTTACAAAGTTTACAAAATGTTAGTACAAAGTGTACAAAGTTTGCAATGTTTACAAACTTTTTGACAAAGTTCACAAAGTTTTGACAAAGTTTACAAGTGTTTTACAAAGTTTTGACAAAGTTTTCGCATTTTACAATTTTTTACACAAAGTTTTCGCAGTTTTTTACACAGTTTTACAAAGTGTACAAAGTTTTTACAAAGGTTTACGAAGTTTAAAGTGTTTCAGTGTTTAAAAAGTTTACAATTTTAACAACAGTTTACGAAGTTTTGACAAAGTTTGCAAAATTTGTTCAATCTTTACACAGTTGTTGCAGAGTTTTGAAAGTTTACAAAGTTTTAGAATTTCACCAAAGTTTCTACAAAGCTTACACAGCTTTTACAAAGTTTACAAAGTATTTACAAAGTTCTTACAAAGTTTACAACGTTTTGCAAAGTTTTCAAATAGTAAAGTTTACAAAGTTTTGACACAGATTGAAAAAACCGAAACTTTGTAGAAAGTTTGTAAGCATCAAAAACTTTTGTAAAAGCTTTGTAAAAACTTTCAAACTCAATAACTTGGTAACAACTTTGTAAAATTCCAAAACTTGTTCAAAGCTTGATAAATGTCCAAAGCTTTGTTCAGATATCTAAAGGTTCAATACCTTGTAAAAACTTCGTAGTTCCAAAGTTTTGTAAAATTCAATGTACTGTAAGTGTCCAAAAACTTTGTGAAGTTTGTTATTTCTATCTTTAAACTTTGTAGACTTTGTTAAAACTTTGTAATGCAAAAACTCGGTAAAAAATTGTAATTCCAAAACTTTGTCAAATTTTTGTAAAGATCCAAAACTTTGTAAACACTTTGTAGGAAGTTTGTTTGAAGACCTGCGAAAGCTGTTCAAGAAGAGCTGATCTTTGGATTAGTGAGACTGCTTGCATTTTTGTTAAAAAAAACGGCATTTGGTGCTTGCGCTTTGGGAATTTGTGACTGATGGCTGTAGTGTTTCAGGGTATTGAGGGTGAGAAGAAGGGTCGAATGGTTATTGGTTGTGCAAGTGTTTTAAGACTTGGCCACGGAAACACCAAAACACTTCTTTCATTTTTTCCAAATAACATTGGTGCAAAACACTTCTTGCGAGCAAAAACACTAAACTCAAGCAACTTAACACTCTATCTATCTATATGTACATCTATCTATATCTGTATATTATATCTATATCTAAATCTCTAAATATATATATATATCTATATATCTATTTATCTTACTATCTGTCTATCTATCTATCTGTCTTACTATCTATCTCTCTTACTATCTATCTATCTATCTATTTATCTATCTACCTATCTACCTATCTATCTATCTATCTATCTATACACTTTTCTCAACCCGCAACGCAGGCAATGACAAATGTCCAAAAAGGAGAAAACAGTGTGATTTGGCCAGCCGGAGCATTTTCTCTGGTGCTGCGCTGCTTGAATCACAGGACACCTGGTCAAAGTCGGCGTGGCCATGTTCAAACTAAAGTGCACGATCTGGGACTATGCAAGAAAGTTGATGACTGCCAACGAAGCCCCAGCACATGCCCAGTGCAGCAGCAGTGGACCTTTTCGTCGCAGGATGCTCGGGACTCAAATGAACCAACCCCCATCGAATCAAGCGATGGTCTGTTCAGATCGGAGTGGGTGTGGTCAATTGACTTGTCAATTTCAGCTGACGCGGCTCATGCCAAGAACTATCAAGAATCCATTGATCTGCAAACGTGGGAGTTTATATTGTTGGGACGTCTTGTGAAGAAAACAACATTGTTCAAACAGCCCTATTCAGCCTCATGTTGACAGCAATCCAAAGAGTGCTTGCACATGCTTGCGCAAGGTTTGCCACTAGAGCAAAGCTTCCTGCTGAGATATCCTGTTCTGACAATTGTGCTGGCAAGCACTACCAATAAAGCTGCAAGTGACCTCTGTATCCAAATATGATTTTGTAAGTTTGTGTAGTCTGCCTAAAGGAAATCAGACCTGCCAGCCAAATCGGACTGTGACTCTTGCACAGGGAAAGTGACCTAGAATTTGCATGTAAGATCATGCTGCAAACCCTAAAACTATGCAACATGATGCTAAGCATCATGTCGATGCCAAACCAACATCTCCATGATGATACTGATAATGTAGCAACGACAGTGAGGCAAATGAATATGAAGGAAGTGAAGATTCTGAGGTTTTCTTGAGGTGGTTCAATCAATGTGCCTCTGTGTCAATCAAAAACCTCTCTGGAGATCATGAGATTTGGCAACTGTGCTTGTCTTCAATGCCGAGTGATACTGCGAAAGCTAACAGTTGCTCCTGCGGATTCTGAAACTGCAAAGCCATAGCAAAAGGTCATTTCAGTACAGTCACAGTTTGACCAAGTCACTTCAATTGAAGGATTTCCAGAAAGGCCAGTAGCTATTCACATTACTGTAATTATGTTGTGGATGCAAAGACAAAATGCAAAGTCTTGCTGTTGTACCATAATTGTATACATTCTTATATCTTGCATACAATGAACTCAAGAAATACAAGGCATAGAATCTGTAGAACTTCGGCGCTGTCTGTCACATGCGCGTCATGCAGATGTGTTTTTCACGCGTCTCCTTGTGCTTTTGAGCAGGGCTAATCACCGGTCTGCACTGGTAGACCTCAATGTATTGGAATGCACATTTACTTCAGTCGATTCCTTAGGACATATTAGAGAGGCCTGTTTAAGGATTAATAGGACTCTAATTAATTGTAGGATAATGTTCAGTAGCTTTCGAAAAGGACGAGAACGGAAAAGAAAACAAAACATAAACACGAAACATCTATATACAGGTTAAGTTTCTTCAAACCCTAGGAAACCCTAGGAAACATGCTAAGGGTTCTTCCGAGCCTGTTCCGCGTCGCAGGAGGGCCTAGTAGTTTCCTGTCGTCTACTTGTTGTTGCTACTCACTCAGCTACTTGTTACAGTAGCTATATACTACCTACGCAAGCTTCTCTCAGGGCCTACCCTTGTGTCTGCCAGACCCCTTTATTCTAGAAGTTCAGCATCTTGAAAAAAAAACAACAAAAAAAACAAAAAATGCAATCACAAAATGCAACCAGAAAAACAAAAACAATCACAAAAGCAAAACACATTTAAAAAAACAACCCCAAAATGCAACCAGAAAAACAAAAGCAATCAGAAAAGCAAAACAAAGCAAAGAAAATTGTAAGCAAAAATGAAACAACTCAGCCGGGCTTTCTGGCGCACTTTTTGGAAGGGTCCACGTTCTGGCGCGCCTTCTGGCGCACTTTTGGGGGAGGGTCCACTTTCTGGTGCACTTTTGGTCGCTTTTTTCCGTTTTTTTTCCGGCGCCGGCGCCGGGTAAAAAGTCGCACTTTTGGTCGCTTTTTTTTCGTGCTAAAAAAGCGAAAAAAGAGCGCAAAAAGCGACCCAAAAGTGCGACTTCTTACCCGGCGCCGGAAAAACTATGAAAAAAGCGACCAAAAGTGCGACTTCCGACCCGGCGCCGAAAAAAAAGACGACCAAAAGTGCGACATTTGACCCGGCACCAGAAAAGACCCTTGTCCAGTACTAACCCTACCCGGCCCCCAAACTACCCTCTATGTGTTGCTTGTGTTTTTTTTGGTTGCTTTTTTATTGCGATTTATTTTGCTTTCTTGGTTGCTTTTTGTTTTGCTTGTGCTTTTTTAGTTGCACTTGTGGTTGCTTTTTTGTTTGTTTTTTTTTTGCTTTCTTGGTTGCTCTTTGTTTTGCTGGTGCTTTTTTGGTTTGCTTTGTGTTTTTTTGATTTGTCAAGTTTATTGATTTCTAGAATCTAGAATAAAGCCACCTCTGGTGGACACAAGCCTACCCCAAAAAATTGAGAGAAGAGCAACAAACAGATCGTAGTACAGCACTCTGCTTCGGATATATATATATAATGATATATATAGGGGATGTTTACGGGGCAGTCAGGACCAACGAGGTCCTGACTGCCGGCCGTGAGTCCATCAAGGTCCGTGCTTAAGGCTCGGACGTGGTGAAGGGCGTAGTCTACCGTCCAGCACCTCCAAATCACGACCGAACAGGTCAACAGAACTGCAGCAGCCCGGTCAAGAGGAAACAAATATTTCGCAAACACCATTAGCACAAATACAAACTTCTAGTACAGTAAGTCAGCCTTGACTCCACAAGCCACGCAGCGACAATGGTTGCCTCACTGCGAAACAAGTGCAGCAAACTTGGCAAAGTGATGCATCACTACTGCAGTACTACAAGCAACATCGGTTGATCATCCACATATGGGTGTGGCCAGAAACCCTGGTATGGATCGTTCCGCGCTGCAGTGAGAGTGATCCAAACCCTATGGATCAGAGCGCTGATCCAAGCCCTATGGATCAAACCGACAAGTCACTTGATCCAAGCCCCCGACATGAACACATCTGCATGGTGGCACTTCACCCCACCACTTTCTCACCGATTCACTGTGAACTGTGAAGGTGGTGGCTTCCCAGATCAAAGCCATCCTGTTTGTGGCAAGCCTGTTTTGAAGTTCTGGGACTCAGTGGGCTCTCAAGACATTTAACAGGTGGTGGCTTCAGCTCTAGATTGGAGGCTCACTCCGAGTACTGGTTAGTGGCTGCCGCTAATTCTGTTTGGCCTTAATATTGTGTTCTAGCAGCTTCTTTAATATGGGCTATTTGGGTTGGATTCTCCACTCAAAGGGTTGCATAGCCTAATGGTAAAAGCATCAGTTTCCAATTCTTCACTTCGACAATGTGAGGGTTCGAATCCCCACTGTGATGACACTTAGTGGCTTCCGGTAATTAATTTTTGGCTGGAATGGGAAGTCAATTTGAAGTTGAGTCTAGTGGCTTCCGCTAAATCTGTGGTGGTGGTAATGCTGGTGATAGTGGTGAGTAGCAGTGGCTTGCAGGCAAGTGCAGTGGCAGTAGCAGAAGGAGTTGTGGCAGCAGAGGTGGTTGTAGTAGTGGTTTGTAGTAGTGGTGGTTCGAGTCCCGGCTGTGACCACACTTAGTGGCTTCCGGTAATTAATTTTGGCTGGAATGGGAAGCCAATTTGAAGCTGAGTCTAGTGGCTTCCGCTAAATCTGTGGTGGTGGTAATACTGGTGATAGTAGTTAGTAGCAGTAGCAGCAGCAGTAAAGCTGCTGCAGTAGTAGCAGCAGGTGGCAAGTGCAGTGGCAGTAGCAGAAGGAGTGCTGGCAGGAAAGGTGGTTGTAGTAGTGGTGGTGGTGGTTGTGTGATCCAAGGGCTTGGATCACACACCCACCTTTTGATCCATACCCCATGGATCGTGTGTGGGTTTGGGTGTGTGATCCAAGCCTTATGTTTCTGGCCGTAGCCATATGTTGCGAATTTAACATTTGAGTTTGTATATTATGATGTCATCATTGCTCATATTATCCACCACACGTCAATACTGTGCACCCCACTTCCTGGCTTGGTTGAGCACATACCCCTGTTCATTGTTCTTAGCAGGTATACCATGGCTAATGTTGTCCAGCAGCTGAACGATTCACGCCAAGCACGCAGTGCACCAATACCTTTGAAGACTCGTCTTCCAAAGCAGCCTGGCACGGGAAAAGCAGGACGAACATGCCCGCAACAAACTTCATGAACCTATCATAACTTGTGGCACCTATGGCAAGTAGACTTGAGACCGCAAGAGCATCGACAACACAAACAAAAGCTGGGTGGGTGGGATAGCCTCACACATCCTTTTGCACAAACAGTGACAAGGCAACGAAGCGTAGCAGCGTATCTTGAGAACATCGAGTGTCAAAGCCTGCAGGAAAGCTTTGCATCTCCAATAGGCACCACTCGGTCGACACTTGGGATCAAGGGCGCAGTTGGCCTCCAGTGGCAAGGACGTGACTACCCAATCTAGGATACAACACGCAAACAGTACAGCTGCAATCTTCAAACCACGACCCTCTGTATCCGTATGCATCAAAGAGTTTTCACTGTACAAGCTTCTAGTTGGATATTTATTAAGAGACCTATGAAACAAAGAAACTCGAGAAACTTGCTGCCAGGATTATGGTGTATGCAAGTCTCTGCAAACGCTGCCCGAAAGGGATTTTCTCAAAACATATACCATTATGAATTATCAAGAAACAGTTCCAGGACGCTTACGCTTAAGTCTGGTGTGTGGTCTGCGTGTTTGTGCATTTTCTGACCAACCACGCTGCTTGCGTTGATGCACTGTCGCTGTTTTGGATGATGTTCTGACGGCGTGCGTGAGGTCAAGGAGGGGAGGGGTGGGGGCGGGGCCAGGATGATAACTTCCTGTTGCTACGCAGTTGATGTTCTGGTTGATGTTCCGGAGTTGATCATGTTGATGTCTTGATCGTGCCATGGTTGAACTTGAAAGCATGTCTAGCACGACGACGTGTTGCGAAAGTCAAAGGCGCTTTGGTAGTTGTGCCAGTGCACAGAATTGGTCGAAACCGGCAATTGCTGGGAGCACTCGTGAAACTTACTGCAGAGTAAAGAGTAGTTTTGAACTTTCAGATTTTTTTCTTTGCAACCCAAATCCCAGTGGCACGGTTGGTTTACCTGAAAAATCTGCAAATCATGTTCTCCTGCAATAAACAATGCAATTCCAACATACATAGTGAACACAGTGCTGTTTGATGCATGGCGCAACGCAAGCCATGGACCTAGTTACCAGTACTTAGTTCCATCCCCGTGAACTCCAAATAAAGGACCCCATCTTTGCAACATTGGCTTAAACGGGCTGAACGACTTATATAACTGTCCGTTGGCAATGGGCGGACCTCGAATTGCTCCTCGGTGTCTAAAGGCCCGAAGAGATTGTCCTTAGCGACGGACTAACGGCTGAATGTTGTTTCTTGGAAGTTCATAGTTAGTGGAAGTTCAAATTGAGGCAAAGTCATAGCCATCGTCCTGGATCGGGACCTCAGCTGTCAACTTCTAACATTCTGAACTTGTTCAAATCTGCAATGCCATTCAGCATGATTGAGCTTTGTGCCCATTCAGTCACCAAGCCATGGTCTTCGCCGGGGGGAAGGACATACATGTCGGACACGTTCAGCACGTGTGTAAAGCCTTTGGGGTTGGCCTCACATGGGGCGCACCAAAACTAGCGCTGCAACTCTGGCCTCATGGTGGGTTTCGATCAAAATTTCAATAGCACTTGGCACGTCTTTTTAAAGGGGGATAGGTTGGAGGAGAGCTCACAAGTAGCTAGCTAGCACAGTACAGTACAGTATATAAGTACATATAAGTATCTAGTTAGTACAGTTTATATAAGTAGCTAGCAAAAACCAGGAAACTACTAGATACTACTAGACTGTGATTTTTTGGGTTCCTCCTGCCTGCGGGCGGGGGTATATACCTTGAAGAACCCCTCGCCTGATTGATGTGGTCCACTGGTTAGTTGATCTTTGGGCCCCTAGTACCGTCCTTGCTCCTAGTAGTAAGGGCAGGAGCCCCTAGACTAGTAGCTTCTTGCTCCTAGTAGCGATGCCCTTTGCTCTTAGCAGCGTCCTTTACACAAGTTCAAACGGTCATAGCAATTGGCCTTCTTGAGGTCAAGGGCGTCTTGCGCGCTGCCCAAAAAAAGGGAGTTGGATACAATCTCCTCAGCGCTGCGTGCGATGTGGCAAGCATTAAGGAACGCAAGCGTATGCCACCTGCTTGCCCACGTCAGTGCGCCCGTTCATTTGTGCTGGATCGGGGCAGCCCGTCACACTTCCATACTCCAATAATGCACCAATTGCATTGTTGTGCGTCACATCATTAATTAAACAAACAATTGAGAAGTTGGGGCAACAACATCGCTGAAGAAAACCTTGTGACCACCTTGTGTTCACCAAGTTGTTGCAACGTTAATGTATTGACTGCATTATTAGTTTGTGCAGTCTATGATCTTCGCAACCTGAGAAGGGGGAAACGAAGGCGAGTAAAAACAACCAGGGATGTGTAGTATTCTGCGAGGGGATCACTTGGCCAAACGCCTGAAAGGAGCAAGGCTGCCGCGGTCGAATGGGCACTCTATGAAGTTGCAGGAAAATCAGGACAATTGAACCAATGCCTTCATGCATAAGTTGCACAACCAAAGGCCGAAATCTGTTCAATTCTCACTTGATAAAGGTCAGTTCCCACTTGGTAAAGGTCAGTTCCCACTTGGTAAATGTTAGTTCCCGCTTGATAAATGTCAGTTCCAACGCAGTAAATGTTAAAGGAAAAACACCAGCAGGCCGACGTGTTTGTTGCATCTGCCCCTGGACCTCTAAGCTCACTTCGTTCGCAGAAACTAACTTGAGCCTGGCCCAGCCCATCGGCCGGCTTTCATAATTTCAACTTTCCATCCGTCCATCTTTTCACCAAATGTCATCATGGTTCATCCTTCAATTAGTCCGAAACACTTCTAGCCAAGCTGCACAAACACCCAACTCTTGAAGAGATCTGATGCTATCGCCCTGCTCGCCCTTGCGCAAATCCCAACACTTGGTGACTGGTCTATTTACCAGTAGCAGTTACTTATGCAGTCCTTCTCTTTGAGACATCTTTTTGAATATTGATGTCGTAGTAATGAGACTGCCCGCATTACGACTGCACCACTGAAACTCGGCTGCCGCAGGCTCAATGACATGCACAATTCCCGCATGTCTAGCAAGCTAGTCAGTCCTCCAAAGGCATGTCCAAAAGGCATGTCCGGGCCGTATGTTCTCACTGTCACTGGCTGGCATACATCATTGCTCCAGCCTCGGCCTTTGCTTGTCGGCCACTCTCGTCTTTGTCCAGGATGTCCAAGCCATTGTTGCGAAAAAAACTGAGCATCGCAGCAAAAAGTTTGTTGAAAGACCGACTTTTTGTGTCGCTTTATAGCATCAGGCATGCGCTAATTACATGCGATGTAATGCAACCAGCTTTATCCCCAATCAAGAACAAACACATTGCATTGAACATGGTGCCACTATGCCTCAAGTGTTCTAATCAAGCATGCATGTTTGCTTTCTTATGCCTGTAAAGCTCAAATAGTTGAGAACTTGTCTTGCATAGAACTTGTGAGAGGCAATTGAGCTTGAGCCGCTCGAGAAGCTGCAAACATGCTAAAAAGTAAGTTTCCCAAAAATCAAGGAAACAAATGAACAGTGCAAGCGCTTCTTCGGAGCTTCCTTGAAGAAGCGTGAGCCTGCGTCCTAGTAGTACAGCCCTCACTTAAATATATATAATATATATATATATAATTAAGTAGTTAAGTCAAATGGTCGGCAAAAAAAACTAATCATTAAGGCTCGGCTCAGGCTTCTTCCACCAAAAAAAATACAGACCAAGACCGTGCCTGCGCCTACTGCCTAGGCCCTCGTGTCCTCTTCCGCTTCTTTTTAGTGCCTGTAAACATCCACAGGAGCAAACACCTTGTCGAAAGCAGGATTTCTCTGTTTCCAAAGCAGCCTCTTTTGAGACGTCTCATCACCCTTGCTGGAAAACCTAAGCATCTGCCAAGTAAAAGCCTGGCCTCCTGACGATGTTGTTACCATGGCTGCTTCTTCTTCGGGCCTGGTTGATGAGTTTATGTACTTTTCTTGCACTTGCCGGCATGGTGCTTGAACTTCAGCAATACTATATATTATATATATACTATATACTATATATATACTGTATATATGCAGCATACAGTATACTTCAGTGTGCAGCGACATGGACACACACATTCACAACAACGATTTTGCGCCTAGGTCAACAAATCATCTCACACAGGTTCCCATTTTACCAATCCAATAACTAACGTGCACAAGCTCTGTGCACTGTCCTTGCTTACGGCCGCAAAAGTGGCAACCAGCCGGAGCGGCGTGATCCATTTCGCAGGTTGAAAGCTCATGTATCCTTTCTTGAATGTCTCCGCTGGAACCTTGCCAGTACAAATAGCACATGGAGCTCATCGGCGGACAACATGTTGGGGTCGGCTTGGTTGGCCTCCTACTGAGAATCTGTAGCCTTCTATCATAAATAGAAGGCTCAAAATGATTGGACCTAAATCTGAAGGCAAAGTGCAAGCATGTAATTACAACCGAGGGTTATTAAGCTGAGCAAATAGAGGACTACAAACCTAGGTTTCAGAGTTGACTGACCTGTTCCAGCGATGTCCATCCTCTCTCAAATATCTCAAATGCAAAAAGGCACGATAGTAGCAAATTTGGAATTCCCAAAGCTTGGAATCGCCATATCCAAAGCTTGGCACCTCATGTTTTTTTCCAGGAATGTGAAAGGATCGAAGCAACAAGGCCTCAACCAGTCGTCCGAATCAAACGATGCTGCTTTTCTTTTTAGGCCGCTCTGCCCCCTTAATTCAGTAGGCACCTACTTAAGTTAGCTACTAGCTACTGGACGCAGGATAGATCGCGCTATTCATTACGTTCGGAGATCTTGAGAAAAACAAAAAAAAACATCAAACAACGACTGAGCAACAGGCGTTTACTTTGTCACATGCGGGCCGCAGCCCCACTGCTGCTCGTCCGTTCACCTCCTGGCTTTGTACAACACAAAAGCAGCAGTATTGAAACCCATCACAACTTAGCTAACTTGTGTAACTTCAGCAGATTCGGGCTGTGCAAATTGGAGGACGCTACTCTTTTGAGAGGTTTGTTCGGGCATCAATCTCCTACTAGCTCAGCTTGTACTTGTACATATGCCTACTTCGAGACTCTTGGCTCAATCCCAAGTGGTTTTGTTCAGGGTTGCCAACCATAGTGTGTGGGATTTGAGTCAAGAATACGGTGGTGTATAGGTAGGTAATGTCAAGTGTTTATAAACCTGGCACGACCATTACACTGAGTGGCTGGCCGGGATGAAAAACAGCTCCTCATCTGGGGCATGGGAGCCTGATTGCAATATGCACTTGGAATGCTGGTTGGAACCCTTTTCAATTCATTGGGCACGGTCACAAACATGTTCACCTTGATTTAGAATGTTGAAAAATGGAAGCACAACATTGTTGTCACTGAGAGAAAAGCTGATGAAGCTTGAGACGCTATCAATAGGGACCTCGAGGCTTTCACTCTTTGTCATCTGGGCAATTTTCACAATAACTTTGCACATCCTTGTCTTTTGCAACTCTATTCATGGCGTTCTCGTCCATGGGATCAATTCTACTATTCCACGATCACTCTGAATATGTTCAAGCACTTTCAAACCAACTTGCACAGAACTTGAGACGTTCACCCCAGTGTATTGCAAAAAATAACATAGTGGAGTGTACACATAGTGACTTCTCGGGCGAAAGCAATCTCAGCATCAGCCACCTTGATGCGTACACCTGCACTGTAGCTAGCAAATGTTGTGCACAAAGTCCATGATATGTACTGGCTATTGAATGCAGCTATTACAATGGGAATTTCAGTTCATCTCACCGAACACAATGCTAAGACCTTGTTGCTACTTAGAAGATGTTCATAAATAGTCACGTCCACGAAATGTCATAATGATGATCAACGGGCCTTCAAGAGGTGCAGTTGAGCCAGAGCAAGCTACTGGCAGGGTTGTGCCAGGCCTGAGCAACATCCAATAGAACAAGAGTGCAACAAAATAGACAAGATAGAAACACATTGTCTAACAAGGCAAATGAGGACATAGCGCACTGAAGTCACAATACTGCTTTTGAGCAATCCTGTTCCTGTATCTGCATTTCGTGCATGCAGGACTGTTTGAACATATTATTGAAATGCAATAGTAGCATCCCTAAATTGTAGCTGTTCAGTTGCCGTACTTACTTTGATGAGGAATCTCGCTGATTCCCTTTCCATCTTGCACTCATGGGTGTCTGACCAGCCGGCATAGCCTCGAACCTGCACATGGGCACTGTTCCGATCTCTAGCAGTGAAAGAATGATGCACACACCGGAACAACCAATGCCAGCGTGGATACTTGTAAAGACTATGATTCAAGGTAGCTTGTGGGCACGTTTGGCAAGCAGGTGTAGGAGAGGGGAACAAAAAAAAACACAAAAGCGGCAAGCGGCGGCAAGTTATTTTTTCTATGTTCGAGCAAGCTCGCCCGAGGATCCAAGGATCGCAACCGAGGCAGATTCGATGATCCGAGTGTTGTTATTGTTGCGCTGAGCCGAAGCAAGGCACCAAATCCCCAAGCTTGACAAAGAAGGAAGAACGTATATTAATAAAGTTGCCCTAGGAACCAAATGAATAGTGCGAGCGTGAGCTATCCTGCGTCCACATTATGGAGTACCGTCCTAGTAGCTAGGAGCTTACCTCATTACTTTATTGTGTAAGTAGGCGCCTACTTAATTAAGTAAGGAGGCAGGGCCACGGTTAAAAAAAACACACACATCAATAATTACACCTGGACGACCCAACCCTTGCTTCACAAAAAACTCAAGGTATCCTTTTGTGACTTATGTTCGGAATGAGAGTAATGTACAGTACTGTGGGATTCTGTAGGCTGATATGCCACGAGCAACTTGTCAACCCAAAATGTGAAACAGGCTGAAACAATGGCTGTCAAGAAGCCGCATTGCCCACATACTTTTTGCAAAAAAACACCAATGAGATCATTGTGTTGGAGAGTCTAGGTATGCCCAGCTGCACCTTGTCCCGCATCTGCATGGCAGTTTCGTTGTGTGGCCACAGTCTTCCCTCTTCCTTCGTAATGATTGGAGCCTGACCATCGGAAAACAAGAAAAAATACACCGCTATGTGTGTTCCTTTTCGCAAAAAATGTAAACAAACTTTACGAAGGCGTGCAATTAAGACAGCGCAGTATGGTCTACGAATTCTCAAGGAGTTGGGGGTAGATGGATGTGAGATTATGGAGTCTGAGTGATCAGTGCCAGATGCCTTCTCCACCAGCGCCTCATCCTGAACTTGGGCTGTGTCCATGGTGACCTGTGCATAAGAGACTGCCAGAATGATTGGAACATGTTGAGAAAACTGTGAAAGGAACCTCCAGAAAGTGCATGAACAACATCGAACAGGTGGGGATGCGACATTGACACGTCAATTGGGATTGGCAGTACATAAGTGATCTTGACTATGGCCGACGGTGCGGTTTTCAATAGAAATTAATTGTTTGATGGGATGAAAACTGAAAGCTGCGTGTAGTATTGTACACTCGGCAATTCCCATCAAATTGTATCAAACCCTTGTCACTAGGATTAAGTAACCACCCCCTATTAATCAATCCCAGCTCGACCCCCCAATACTAGACTAACTTAAAACCTAGATTTCCACCTTGGCATCCCCCTAATAATTGTTTTACTGGGCAGAAACCTCCCCCCTATTAATCAGTCCCAGCTGCCCCCAGAAAATAAAGAATTGTTACTATTTATTTATAGTTATATAATATAGTCTAGTATTTTCTTTCGTACTAGTATTCAGTATTCAATATCTTTTGGTCCATGGTGAAATTGATCTTCATTCTCATCAATCATTGTCTTTCATTATCATCCTCCTTCTGCTCATCCTGCTTTTCTTTTTATCCTTCCCTGTTAAAAGCCAAAAAATGCTAGCAAACTTCTTTCATTTTCCCTTATTAAAACGCTATCAAAATCTTAAGGTTTTCCAGCTCGCAAAGGGTACCCCTCACACAGGCCCTACCATCCCCTAATAGTAGGGACCCCTCCCCTATTAATCAAGCCCACCCTCTGGCCTCCATCTTGTTTTCCATCTCTTTCATCCTGCAATCCTCTTTCTTTTCCTACTCATCCCAATCAAAGAAAAAATCTTGTCTTGAAATCTCTTCCATCTCTTTCCTAATCATCCCAATCTTTCCCAATCTTGTCATCATCTCATCATCAATCATCAGGTCATCATCTGTATTGAGGGGATGTGGTCTCCAATACCTCCAATCTCAATCCTTGTTGACCTTGCTGACCTTGAAGGGGGAGGGGGGGCATTTATTAATCCTACGTCGAGATTACAACTCACAACTATTCGTCAACGGAGGATAGGGTCCAGCTGGGTGCAATGTGTTGTCGAGCTCTGAGGACCACAGTTTTAGAGGTGGGCCAAAGGAGTTCAACGAGCGGTTTCCACCGTCGCTTCCACCATCGTGCAGCTGAGACGATGTCAGCACGCTGATCGAAATGTTTAAACTTATCAAAGGCATCAAAATATATACCGTATATCCAAGTTTGCTAGGGTCTGAGGCACTGAAACACAATTTCAATGAGTGTTAAGCCACATGACACCCGAATCAAGAAATCGCTGACAAGTCTTGCATGTCATTGCACAGTTGCCAACAAAAACACTTGGGCAAGGATGAAAACCTGAAGCCAGCCTCGCCACTAAGAAGTTTGGGTATGACCTGCGTCAACCAAATCAAGTCGCCAGTCACAGGAAATTCCCACCCACATGCCCTAGCAAGTAGTGAGTGTTGATAAACCTGCATAGTTCATCTTCTTGAACTCAAATAGTACATATTTTCCCCAGATAGGGGGAGCTATTTGGGTTCCTACTTCAAGCAAAGGGAGAGTTGCATGTGTGCACTTTCTAGCCTGGGTGCTGGTATCGCTGCAGGGTGCCGCTGCTATGCGCGCTTGGGTGCTGGTGCCGCTGGTGCCGCTGCTGTGTGCGCTTGGGAGCTTGGGTGCTGGTGCGCTGCTGTGCGCTGCTGTGCGCTTGGGCGCTGGCGCCGCTGCAGGGCGCCGCTGCTGTGTGCGCTTGGGCACTCTTGCAGAACACTCTCGTAGCATACTCTTGCGAAACTCTCTCGTAGGAAACGCTAGGACACTCTTGTCGGACACTCTTGTGGAACACTCTTGTGGGGCACTCTAGTAGGGCACTCTTGTTGGACACTCTTGTAGGACACTCTTGCGGATGACCATTGTAAGTCACTCTTGTGCGACACTCTTGTGGGACACTCTTGTGGGACACTCTCGTGGGACATTCTTGTAGGACTCTCTTATGGGACGCTTTTGTATGACATTTTTGTGGGACAGTCTTGCGAAACACTCTTAGTCTTGTAGGACAGTCTTGTGGGACACCCTTGTAGAACACTCTTGTAGGACACTCTCGTCGGACACTCTTGTCGGACACTCTTGTGGAACACTCGTGGGGCACTCTTGTAGGACACTCTGGCGGGACACTCTTGTAGAACACTCTTGCGGGACACTCTTGTAGGTCACTCTTGTGTGACACTCTTGTGGGACATTCTTGTAGGACACTCGTGTGGGACACTCTTGTGGGAAAGTCTTGGGCCACTGTGGGACACTCTTGTAGGGCACTCTTGTCGAAACTCTCGCGGGACACTCTTGTGGCACACTCTTGCGGAACACTCTGGTGGAACACTCTGGTGGGACATTGTTGTAGGACACTCTTGCGGGACACTCTTGTGTGACACTCTTGTCAGACACTCTTGTGGGACACTCTTGTGGGGCACTCTTGTAGAACACTCTTGTCGGACACTCTTGGCAACACTCTAACTCTTGTGGGACACTCTTGTAGGGCACTACTACCAAAGTCTCCAAAAGTCAGCCGTCATGTCTCCAGAGTGAGCGCTTCGTACGAGACTTCCTCCAAAACTCACAGCTCAAGTCTCCAAATTGAATGTTTCGTACGAGACTTCCTCCAACAGTCACATGGCAAAGTCTCCAAAACGAGCATTTCGTACGAGACTTCCTCCACAAGTTAAATCAAGCGGGAAGACGCATCGGAGCTAACACATCAAGGACCCCTGACAAGCAGTTTCGTGATTCCAGTCCCTTCAAGCCACACCCACTGAACCCCAATGCCAATGTCACGGCGACACTCACCTCCGATTCCCTGCGCCTACCACGGAAATTACACTTCCACACCTCCAACACGCACAAAATACTGCCACGAAATGTGACCTCCGCCACACCTCCCAACCTCACGATTCCTTAAGCCTGCCACGAAAATTGCACTTCCAAAGCCTGCGCAAAGCACTGCGCCTGCCACGAAATATCGCGCCTTCATAGACTCAGCAAAGTTTACACCCAGCCACCAAAATCACCACTTTAGCTGAGACTCGGAACGAAGCCACAGCTTCGAAGCATGAGCCTGGAACGCAAATGCCATTGTCACAGCCACATCCAACACCCCAAAAACACCACCCTACAAGCACCATTGTCAATCTGACTGCGAAGAAACCTGCGAGTCTCAAAAAACCCTGCAGGCAATTCATCCTCCAGACTTCATCTTCTCACGCTTCCACACGTTTCCTCGCTATTTCACACGAATCTGACACATCATGCTTCCATCCAAAACCCTCTCCAAAAGCTTCGCCCAATGTCAGCGCCATAGCGCTCCACCTGCGAACGGTAGCGAAAGGTTGCGAAAGGTTGACAACGGTTGCGAACACTAGGACAATGAGTCGCGGACAAGGCTCTACCCCCAGACCCCCAGAGTTAAACGAGAACCCTTCGCTACGCGTTCGGGAAAAAACATTACATAAAACATCCTAAAACAAAAACAGCACGGACTTAAGCAATGTCGTTATTTTCTTGTTACATCTTGTTACTGCAAATCTTGTGAAAGGCAGGGAGCCAAAGCACGTACACATTCTGTTGCTGAGCATGTGTCATGATGCAAAGCATTGCATGTGTTGCGCGCACCAAACGTTTATTCAGGTTTATTCTTGTCGTAAGTTGGCCACTCTTCCTTCCCCATAGAGTCGCTGCCTGATCCACTAGCAAATCAGCGCCCCACCTCACTCGCAAACACTGATCTACGTTACATACAAACTCTGCAATGAAGTTCCAGTATGTCACTGGATGTCTTGTCATACAACGTTGCTCATCCTGATTCCTGATGACCTCCATCCCAAGGATGATGTGTGAGTTGTCCTTGTTGCCAAGTACGAGTAAATCTTCAACTTCAAACACTTTGTTGTTCATATCTCGCTATGTTTTCTCGTTCAATCCAATCGCCTCGCCTATCTTGTATGCTGCCCATATTCGGATTCGAACATATGCATCTGTTTAATTGCAATGACATGCTTGAAAAAAAATCATACAGGGGTGCAGCATGTGGATATGAGACCATCCAAGTGGACATGACATGACATGACTGACTGGAATTTACAGAGATCAAAGATAATGCCTTACCGCGTGTATACCCCTGGCCCAGCTGTCTCCTGAGTGACTGTACACGTTTCAAGCCTGTGCAACAAGTTTAACATAGTTTCTCCAAAACACTAATCAAGACAAATCTGGCCGGTGATCCTTTAAGATCACTAAGGCACGTGCGCAAACAGCTTGTCCAGCAGGTCAGGGGACGTTTCTGAACCTTTCATGCTTCACTGATCAGGAAGCCTGTGTGTACTTTCCAAAATGTGGCAAGTTCCACACAGGTCCAAAGTTGGAAGCTCTTCCGTGGGTCAAAGAGTCCAATTACATTTAGTGACATGGCTGGGCAGCACCTTTGCCTATCACAGCAAGTTGAGCGCCTAAAATGTAAACATGTATGATTTAGTTATAAGCACTGTGCACTGTTGTGGGCAAGACTCTCACAATCACTGCCAGTTCACCTTGTAAGGACATCTTCTTCTGTACGATAATAGGCCTTAGATTACGAAGTTCTCCATGCAACGGACTGTTCGATGATCATCTCAACACAGGTACGCTACTCTATTCGGAGCATTCAAGTTGGGGTCCCAAGAGTCTGGCCCAGCATCCATTTTTGGCACAGTGTACAGGATCTGCCAAACAATTTGGGCAATTTGTGCAATGTCTCCGTCACGTGTCTTCGCTACTAGGGGCTCCTGGCCTTACTACTAGGAACAAGAAGCTACTAGGAACAAGAGCAAGGACGCTACAAAAAGATCCGAGATAAACATCTGCGGCGCCGTGATGCCCGTCTCAGTATCGCCAGCCACCAAGCAACGCTGCACAGGCGATGCGCCTCTGCATTACTATGACCAGGAGGTGGGATGATGGCTAGCAGCTATATATGTACTTTTGAGTTCTTCATTTGTTTAAGGCTGGAGGAGGGTAGGGCGGGTAGGGTGTAGTAAGTGCTTCAGGAGCTGGCAAGTAAGGGGTATATAAATAGTACGCTCAAGTGACTCAAGTAGCTTCTTAGTCTTGGGCGCAAAAGAGCTCAGGCTTCTGCAAGGAAGCTCCCCTCGCATGAGGGCAAGGGCGGCTTCCTTGAAGAAGCCCGCAATGTTTCAATGACAACCCAAATTAGAAGCCACCAAGAGTACAAAGGACAATACATATTGAAAGAGAACAAAAGTGTTGCAACGAATTGTCCACAACTCATACAACTATGAATCCATCAGTAGCGCAAGTTGTGCTGGCAACAAAGGAAGTTCCGGAAGCACCTCTCCATCTTGGAAGCAAAGAGGGATGCAAATTCACCGTGCCAAGGCGCGGGGTCTGAGCGATTGTGTGCACAAGAAAACATTGAAGAACACGTAGGATGCAATACGATGCAATTCGTCTGTTGTGAAGGGACGTTGACAAAACAATCGCCAGCCCATGTAGCACTGCTCAAATGCATAGATACAATATGCCTGCCTGCAAAAAGCGTCGAGGAAGGTATTCGCCGTACCTCGTACTCCATCTGAACAAGAGCCATTCGAGTGCCGAATGCAGCTACTGAATCAATCAACAAGTGCCGGAAGGTTGCAATTAATCAATTAAGTGTATATAATATATCATTACAAATAAGCAAACGCAAATTCCCCTTGCAATTGCGAGAAGATCGAGAAGGCTACCAATATTGTAAAATAAGGAGCATTCCAGAATGCAATCGAGGCAACGGCCTCTGCACACAGTGAGGTGCAGCAAGCACATGCCAACACACTAGGGCCCCATGAAACTTTTGGTCGCTTCGGAGACGAGAAAACTACTTTGGACCTTTGCCAGTGAGACATTTTCGTTATGCGTGCACTCAAACCTCTACAGGGCACAAACAGCCTTGTGGCATCCTGCAGCCCCCCAAAAATACCCTAATAGCGATGACCTCCAACTGCATAAGTTGCCTAAGTGGCCTATCGTCAAGTCATAAGACACTTGGCTGATGGGCTCTGCATAGGCTTTTGCGACCTATTCTGGGAGATGGAACTTCAGGTCGCATCTTCCCAGCAGCGGCTCGTCGAATTAGAACCATCATTGCAGGACAAAGAACATAAGATTTAACATGAGTGAACCATACACACACCAAACGTCACCAAGCCATCTATATAAACGACAATACCAAAATACACCAAAGAAACATCAAGCTTGGCCAAAACCATATGATGCTTGCATGACATCTCATTGAACAACACTAAGCCCAACCACATGCGCGGCCCTCTTCATCCCGCTTCCCTTCCTCCAAAACAGCCACTCTCGAACAGGGCTTTGCAGGCTCGTGTGTGGCGTCTGAAGAAGCACAGGTCACTGGAGATTGTTACTACTGTACTAGTAAGGCACTTGTTCCTAGAAGCGATGCACTTGTTCCTAATAGCTTCTTGTTACTACTAGTAAGGCACTTGTTACTAGAAGCGTGTGATTGGTGCGTGGGCCACAATCTTCCGCCTGGTTTGCATTGGGTCACCAGCACTCAAAATGACTCTGTCTCCGCTTGACAATCGAAGCCCGTATTTGGCTTTCATGTTGTAATGAACTTCCACAAAGGGCTCGTGGATAGCATGATTGATGATCCCAAAACAATCCGCATAATTAGCTTGTTAGGTGAGGTGACATGTTGCTACCATGCTTGCCTTAGGCTTGAGACTTCGTTGCCGTGGCTGGTAGAGACAAGAACGCTCGTCGACTACCCCACGCTACTATTCTTGCCCTCGAACCTGTGCAGTCAAGTTCCACAGTGTGACAGTGCGTTACAATGACTTGACCATGATGTGTGCGCTCTCCAGTGGCATGAACTGCCGAAACAGCAACCCTCTGCGCTATCCTGAAAGCCCAATCTGCCAAAAGAACCAATGGATGCTTTCTTTTTTGGAATCAAATCGCATCAAGACCTTCTTTCAAGAGTGTCTCCAACCAGCCTCTTGCCAGCAGCTGTGCTGGAACTTGCTGATATCCGCACAACAACCAACACAAATATGTATATATATATATATTGTATAAATATAGCAAACAACATAGTTGATTGCACACAACAGTGGCAGCTTCACAAGGCACGGGCAGCACAACACCTCCCCTCAGATTTACAAAGCCACGGCTGTCCTGACAAGGCACATTGTGTCGCATGTTCGTCGGTGTGTAGTAGTCTGTATTAGCCCACATACCTAGTAGGTTGGAGGCCATGGCTATTAGGGCGATTGTTTCATTGCTTGCAGGATTCCCACGCCTTTGGAGCTGCCGGACAGACCATCAGGACTCACAAAAGGGTCTTGCCTGGCGCAGGAAACAAGGCAAGTTTTGCCTGCTTCAGGAAACACAGGCCGATTCTAGGAGTTCATTCGTTTGGATCCGTTTGGACTGCCTCTGGATCAACTTCGTGCACTCAAATGATAATGTCCAATCTGCGAGCTTGAATTCGCTCCTCTGCCATCATTTCGGCCGTTCTCATCTCCTCTTCTGCTATTGCTTCTTCAGTCATTCGAGGGATCTGGAATTTAGACTGGGACTTAGCCAGCTTAGCTTTGGCTGCTTCCAATTTAGCTTCACCTGTGGGTGGTGCAACTGGAGCATCTGGAGTTGGTGGAGCAGAGATGTCTACAGCAGGAGCTGAATATTTTGACTGAGCCTTTTTCAATTTCTCTTTGGCGGCGTTGAGCTTGGTATCAGCTGAGGGTGGTGCAACAGGAGGAGCTGGAGGAGGGGGCAAAGGATCAACCGACGGCTGATTGTTCAGCCTTGTTTCAGTTGCTGCAAGCTTTTTCTGGGCCTCCTTCACTTTAGCATCATATGCTGCCGGTGAAATGGGTGATGGCCGAGCCTGTGGAGTGGCAGGCACATCAGAATCGAGGGGTGTGGTAGCCTGGGCAGCTTGGGCTTGTGCCAACTTGTCCTCAGCTGTCTTGAGTTTGGCAATCGCAGCTTGGAGTTTAGGATTGTCTTTGTGTAGTTGGGGTGGTGGTTCTGGTGCCTGGGTCACAACTGGAATGGTTGGAAGTTCTGGTGCTGCGTGCTGGGCAAGTTTGGCCTGTGCTGCCTCCATCTTTGCCTTCACAGCTTTGAGTTGTGGAGAATCTGCTGTGAGTTTGGGTGGGGCAAGTACAGTAGAGCTGGACGCTGTCCCTTCTGCAGGTTTGGCAAAGTACTTTTGCTCCGCTTCTTCCAGTTTCTTCTGGGCTTTAGCCAGTTTTGGGCTCACTGGCACTTCCAATCCTGAGGACTGTTTTTGAACTGTTGGCTTGTTGCCCGCTGTGTTGAAATCCGCGAGTGTCTGATCAACAACACCTTGAAGCACAGAGGGATCTGCAGCTTTGCTCAGAAGAGTTCCGGCTTCTGCACTGTTCATTCCCTGAAGGTTTGATGCTGCCTCAGTCTGATTTGCAATGTTTGCCTGTGCTGTTTTGATTGCCTTTTGAGCTACTTCCAGCTGTTGGCTCTTGGGAACCTCTGCACTTTCTGCTGCTGCCACTTCAGCTACGGCTGTCACTTCCGACATCTTCTCTTGAAGCGTAGAGTGGACTCTTGCCGTTGCCCTGTCCTTCTTTCCATTGCTGGACTTGGCCTGCTTCGTCGTCTGCTTCTTCGACTTCCCTGCCTTATGATGATTTCCTGCCTTTCCTCCACCGCCCAACTTTGGCTTCTGCTTCTTTTCAGTCTTAGCCTGGGCATCCTGCTCTTTTGCCTTCTGCTTCGCCAGCATGGTGTCAAAATTGGTGATGTTCAATGTTTGCATTTTTTCACTCCAGAACCGATTCTTGAACACATATAGAACACCTGTTTCAGGAGTGGGTTCGCATTTGTTCATCATTTCTAGCAATCCAAGCTTCGTCATACCATCGAAATTGTATTCTGTCGTCTTCCCAAGAGGAATCTTGATTCCTTTGATCAGCTCAACGAAGGTATTTTTTTGTTGCTTGAAAGTCATATTTGCCAAGTTCACCATGTTCATTCCTTCATAGCAGGGGCCCAGTGCTCCCTCACCAGCATACTCAAGATCTCCAAAGTGCCGATTGAGGATCTGAAGCACCAAACTGTAGCCGACCTTTAGCCCTTTGGTTGCACCAGCCACATCTACCGAGCAAACATCACTTGGCACACACATGGCGGAGTAGCTGTAGTCCTTCCAATTCTTATCGGCAAAGCTGTAGAAGTAACTGCATGTTGGGTCACCCTCCTTCATGAGAGCTCCCAGGCCCGGATCAGAACACTTCCCATCCCCTATGAACTCTTTTCTAATCTTCTTCTCGATGTCACCGGTAAACTGATTGGTGTTTACCTGTGCAGCCACCTGTGCAGCCAAGGGTGCTGCAGAACCACAGCACTCCATCAGTTGCTTCAAATCGCCAAGATACGGGTTCAAGGTCTGCAACAAGACCGTGTAGAGTCCAACCTTCAAAGGATGGCACAGGGGTGCCAGGGCTAGCTGAACACGCACAACTAGCAAAGCATTTTTGAAAGATCGTAAGCAAAATAGAAAACTTAATATATATATATATTATGAAATTTCAAGGACTCGTAAAATGACATAATAAAATCTGTTCGGGCCAGTGTACGCCAGGATTTGGGGTGTGTACGGGGGGGATGCGCGGGTGGGCGGACGGGTGTGCGGACGGGTGTACGGGTACATCCGTACATTCGCGCGTCCGTCCGTACACCCGTGCGTACAAAAAAATAGATCCTATTTTTGCAAAATAGATCTTATTTTGAAAAATAGGATCTATTTTGGTATGTACGTGCAGTTGCACGGGCGTACGTACACCCATCCGCGCACCCGTCCGTACACCCGTCCACGTACCCGCGCACCCGTCCGCACATTTGTCCGTACACCTGTCCGTACACCCGTCCATCCACCCGTACACCTGTCCGCATGTTTGCACGCACGGCGCAAATTCACACGTTCATATCACACGCTCGCCCGTGCGCGCAAAACGTCCCATCCAAGACAAATACACCATTGTACGACTCCTTCAATTTTCATAATATATATATATATATGCCTTTTCTTCACAGGCCAACACATGTTCAACTGTTCACGGAAACATTAAACAAACTATTTGGTGCAACCAGGCCTTCCCTCCCTTCGTCAGGTCCCCTGCACCCTTCACCACATCCCCTGACACCGCTGTCGCTGAGCGGATATAAGCAGTAGCAGGTGTCAGAAGTGTGAGCAGCGTGGCTGCTGCTAGAGACCGTGTCATGGCACCACGAGAGCAGTGCAAGCAAGAGTTCCCTGCTCCCTCGGGCTGAATTAGAGGTGAGTGGAAAGCGAGCGGAATCATTCATGTGGCAAGGTCTTGCAAGAAATACAAGTGTTGCTGGACAATGTGTGCAAGCTCCTAGCATGACACAGCTCAGAACATGTGCAACAGCAAAGGGCGGGGAACGCTGCTGTCACACAAACCTCAGTCAAGAGCGCCATGACGAAGAAAGGATTGCAAAAGAGTGAGGAAAGCATTGCACACACATGATGAATACAATTGTAAATTCAACTTTTTCGTAGCCTGCATTCACTGGGCACAGCACATCTGGTTTGAGTGACTCTAACTCTTCCAGAAAACCTGGATCCTGCATTTGTCTGTATTCAATATTCTGATGTGGCTCGGTGGTTGTCAAAACCTACTTAAGAGTGCATCCCCCTGGAAATTCCTCCAGAGACCCATCCTGTTGCAAATGGACAAATGGAACGCAATCTTGTTTCTCCACTCGTGTCCTTGGCTGAGGGAGGTGTCAGCACGCAAGGAACCTTAGCAACGGCAGACTCGTGCGGAAACTGTTCTTATGACTAGTCAGTCGTTACCCCGAGCTTTCTATTTAGTCGCCAGCCTGGCCAGCCTCGAGTATTTTTCTTTAAGGTCGCAATATACATTTTGTACATCACAGTTGAAATGTGCAGGGAGCAACTCAAACTTTCACAAGTTACGCTTCTGGCTGGCCTATTTTGCTCATGTAGTCTTTATTTGTTCTGGAGCTCATCACTGCAATTGGCTAATTTGTGGTACCAGTATATTTGGTCCATGGCCCAATCGTAAGGTTTGATTTTTTTTTATTTTTCGCACATCTACCTCTGTCTTGGCTTAGGAAAAACTACTGGGATCCAAGCACCTAGCTTCTCTGCCAGATCGTGCACCGCTGTCTTACTGACTGCCTGCCAAAGCGAGAAAGAATAGTCAAAAGAAAAACATTTTTTTCTGGACTATACAAACGGTCTTTTCAAACATATTTTTTCCCCTGTCACATTCAGAATTCAGCATCGAAGATCTCGCATGGCCTTTCCGTTAGCAAAGTATGTAAAAATGATCGCAACAGCATGTGTCAACAATCGCACCGTTCTGTGAGGTGCCTTCTTGACTCGCTTGGGAGGCCTTGAGACCACAGCGCAGACCTCTGCATTTTGTCATGAAATGTGTGTTTTCTCTTTTGTAGCTCTATTTCAGCATGGAACATCTGATAACACAAACGCTTGCGACAAATCGCCATCCTTTTTATGAAGAAAAACAACACATTATATAAGCCAAAATAATTAAACCTAATGGTATTCATGGTATTATGTATTCTTCTTTGCTATTTATTTGCTTCCCATTACCGCGCCTCGAAGTCATGCCCTTGTGACTCTACAAGACGCTGTAGAACGACCTCTACACAACTTGGTGATCCCAGAAAAACCACTCGGCCAGGATGGTCACCGTCACCTGCACGCCAGCAGACTATTGGCGATAATTGGCATCGGAATCATTCAGTACAATTAGTCTACTGTATATAATATATATAATATATAATTCTATATATAACGACGGCCCGGAACTTAGAAGGTAGCATTTTCGGCACTTCAAAACAGTAGATAAATTTAGAAGGGGGGGTCCTGCTGCGCACCTTCTAAGTTTATGGGCTGTTTTGAATTACCATGCATATACCGCTATATGGCACCTTCGCTATATTTTTTTTTTTTGGCTCGACTTTTTCCAGTGCTATGAGGTGCTAGGTGTTGAAAAAGGCACGGAGATCTCTTGCTCCAGCCATGACGCAACGCTTGGTGAGCTTGTCCGACAAATGGATGCCGTCCTCGGTGGCCTTGGCCCTTCCGCCGCATCTGGTGCACGTGATCTGGCTGCCTTGCCTCATGGCCACGTGTGACGGATGTCCCGTCCACTCACTGCTCGCCATCAGACCAACAGCGTAAGTTGTGGACTCCTGGTTGTACCCCTTGCTGGGCATTGATGAGATCGTTGATGATCTCGAATCTGGTCTTCTTGGAAGGTGCTGCGGAGACTGCCTGCTCACAATCTGAGGTCAATGCCGGCCTCAGTTCGGTCATGAGGTGTTGGTGTGGAGGCGATGGCGGCAATGCTGACAGCGGACTCCAGACCTGTAGGGTTGCCACTGGTGCCCTCCTTGATCAGGGACAGCCAGTAACTGATCCAAGATCATCTTCTTCTGCTGGATCATGGCGACTTTGGTCTCCCGCTGGAGTGCAGGGCCCTGATGCAGGAAGTGGGACCTGTCTTTCATCAGGATGTCCATGCGTGCTCCTGCAATGTGTAAGACATCACGGGTGTCTTCATCAATGTGCCGCTGCAAGTCCAAGATCTCTTCATTCCTGGAGGCATGAGCAAAGGCCTTGGCCAGCCTGTCCGCATCATCTTGGAAGGCTTTCCTGGTCTCATTGGAGTCAACCTCGCTCTTGGCAAAGAGAAGAGGCCGGACTTGGTCAAAGTCTTCAAAGTCCAGTCCCTGGTAGAGATCAGGGAAGGCTTCATAGGCTCTAGTGGGGCTCCAGGCCCGCCAAACTGCATGCACATTGATGCCAATGTTGACCTTGTCCTTGACATGAAGCGCCAGGTGTTTCAAACCATAGAAGACAGCTCTGGCCTTGGTGGCCTTGCCTGGGACAATGCCTTTGAGCGCTGCTTTCCGCTGCTTGGAGAAGACATGATACAAGGCAATCGCAAACACGAACCGCTTGTGCCTGACTTCTTTGCAAGTCTGGGCCACCGCCAGTGTGAGTGCGTGACCAGGCGGCACATCAAAGGTGTCATTCGGCGTCCAAATGCCTTCAGTGACAAAGGTACCCATGCCCCCTTCTTGGATGTAGAAGATGGATTGAACCATGCCCCGCTGCCAGAGTTCCGGTTCAGTCCCCGCCTCCAGACGTTGCTTCCACTGAGCCGGCAAGTCCTTGACCTTACCGTGCCAGAACTTGCACTCCCACAAGAGATGCTTGAAGGTGAGGTCGACTCCGCGTAGAGGGCAAGTGCCTGAGACCCCATGATAGGTGCCCTGACGTAAGGCTCGTAAAGCCGGGCCCAACTTGTCATCCGTGTATTTTTGGATGACGTGGGAGATCTGCCAATCCAACTGCCTTTCCAAATCGTGGCAGCCTTCATAGCGGGTCAGACGCAGCAGGCGTTGCCACCGAAATTCCTCTTGCAGCTTGTGGTTCAGGAGTGGCCAACTCTCAGCCAATGACAGCTCACAGTCCGGAATCCCCCCATAGCCGGTGCGCTTCCAAGCCTTGGCATTCGAGAGATCGAAATCATAGTCAAGGAGGTAGGCCTGGAGAGCCTGCAATGGCCCATGAACCACCTGCCAACGGTATTTCGCTTTCTGGAGTGCACATGCCAGCTGGTCCAGAACAAGTGTTGAGTGCAAGGTCGGATCCGAGTCCTTCAATGCTGATCCAAAAGGGTCCATCAGCCTCAGGGAAGCTCGTCCATGGGTGAGGCAACTGAAAAGTGCGCCCAATGGGAGGAAAGCGCTGTAGTTGTTGAAACGCCAGGGCCGGTTGCCAGCAGTCAAAGGAAACCTCCAAAGCACAGTGCGGTTTCCAGGGCACTTCCCAGACTGCTTTGACCTGAAACCAGACTGACAATGCGGTAAACAGCCTGGCGTATGTGGTTGCCATCCTCGGAGAAGGGAATGTTGATTTCCGTGAGGAGGTCCAGCTCACGGTTGTGTTTGGTCCACATGCCGTCGAGGAGCTGAAAACGTTGGAGTTGAAGGACCAAAGCATCAGGGGCCCCATACAGGTACTGTCCTCCTTCCTCATTGTTGATGAGCTCATCCAAGGTGACAGGATGGTCTCCGGCCGGAAAGAGGATGTTCAGGGGCATCTGCTCTCGTTCTTCCAGATGGCCCGAAAGTGTCCAGTGGAAGAATTTGCTGCCATAGAAGTTGGTGTTGGCATACTCCCACAAATAACCCAGGAAATCGGAGGCGTCAGCCTGGCTCCCTTGGTCAAAGTGGGCCCAGACCTGGTCCATGTGCTTGAGCATAGGCAGCCACTGGGGATCTGGACTCGAAAGGAACTGTCTAGCAGCTTCTTGTGTCTGACCCCAGGCCAGATAGGCGTCTTCCGCAAAGGCCGCCGCCCAGCACCAGCTTCTAAAAGGAGCGTTACCGAAGCAGAGGTTGAAACCATCTGGATTGCGCAAGATGGAGGTGAGCACCTGAGAGATGATGAACACATTCGCCATGGGCCATCTGGTGTCTTGTGGCAGACTCATTCATGCGCTTGTGGACGATGTTCTGCATCCTTCTGAGATCCGCCAAAACTTGTTGCCCATGATGCGGATCAGCTGAGCTGCGGTATCTCTGCACAGTCGGTGCCTCCCTGGGAGTGTCCCACTGGCTGGAAGAAGATGTAGGTGCGCTCCCTCCACAAATCTTCAAAGGAGGTTTGCGCCTTTGAGGCCCATAGCTCCCTGATCCCCTTGGCGAGCTAGGTCTTGAGCCTGAATGAAACGTCAAAGAAACAAGGTTGTGATGCTGCCCACAATCACAATCTGAAGTGTGTCCCCACGCATGCAATGAAGTGCATGACTGAATCCCCACAGCTGCAAGTGAAGGTGTCACTGCGGGGTTACCCGCACGACATGTCCCCCGGGGCCTCGGTCTTACGCCTCTTGGATTCATCGCTTGACTCTGTGGGCGGCCTTTTCGGTGAGGCTGACACCTAAGGTGTTGATGAAGCCTGCAACCGCATCAGGAACTGGATCAGCTCCTCCTGTTTCGGGGAGGTCACCTAGGTCCGGCTTGGCCGCGTTCACCAACGACATGTAGGAGGCGCTTGTGGCCGTCAGAGTCTGCTGTTCTGCCTCGATGCGGGTTTGGATGCCCTTCATCTCATCAAGCAGGTCCTGGTATGCTTTCTTGGTGGAGTCAATGCGTCCCTGCAAGGTAGACTTTCGATGGGAAAGGTCCTTGAGAAGGGTCACCTGGGACTTCAGCTTGGATGCCACGTCCTTCTCGGTGGGAGGTAGCTTCTCCACTAGTTCCCGAACCGTCGGGGGTAGTTGCGCCTTGGTCTCAACAAGTACATCTTTCAAATCCGGCTCGGGCGACGGAGGAGGTGGTGAGATGCCCAGCTCCTGGAGTTTGCCTTGTAGGGCTGATCCCAAGGTAGCCCACGCTGGGGCTAAGATTTCAGCCGTGGCCTTTTGTATCTTCTTGGCCTTTGGTGGTCTTGTGGGCAAACCTGGTGGAGGAGTCACCGGCCACTGTTTCTTCTTGGGTCGGATAGGTGACCTCGAAGACCCCCCTTGGCTGTAACTTGAAGCCGGTTGCGGCCAGGCGTCGCCGCACTTGCGACATACATAGCTAGCCTTGATGCGGTCTTTCCATATCCAGCAGCAAACCTGGTAGGCCCTTCCCAACTGGACCTGGTGGAAGCCATTGTCCCTGATCCCCGTCTGCTTGGCGTCGTGCTAAAAGGTGAGGACGGCGTCGCGCTCTGCGAACAGGCCAAAGAGGAACGTTGTCACGTAGCGCCAGTGCCAAAGACAAAGACCACCACCAGCCGGCTTGAGCCGAAAACTTGAGCCCACCTTCGCTATTGTATATACTACACACATATATATATACACACAAACCCTGTATCTGAAAAGCCTAGAAGAGATTTACCAGCGATGGCCTTCAACCTAGAAGCAATGGCCTCCAATCTACTA